ACCCTGAATCAGCACTTGGACAACTCCATTTGCAAACGGACTTCTTTCTGGATACCAAACTTGATGTGGACATTCTTAGAATGTCCTTGACAGGATTCTTGGAAGCCTTGGAATTGTATTTGGGAATAAACAAAGGGCCATGCCTCAGTTAAAACAAAAGCACAGAGTTTTGTTTCTTTTGTGTCTGTGGGCTTATGCCTAAATTATTTTTTTTTAATGCCTCAACTCTCTACTTTCCTTTGGCTGAGGAAAAACTAGACTAAAAATAGTTCTACAATGGAGAATGTGGAAATATAGCGCTCAGCCTGCAAAGTAAGAAGCAACATTCATGCATACAGGAAACATAAAAGAAAGCATAAGATTGAGATAAGGTTCACTCAGTTTCATTTATGCATGTAAGCAGTAAGAAGATAATCTGCTTCCAATTGTTCCATTTGGGGTTAAGGTTAAACTTGCACTTCAGTTATGCTGACAGTCAGCTGACTAGCATTCCCAGCTCAACCGTGGCTTAAAATAGGCACATATAAATACGAAAGAATCTTGTCATTTGGGGCCTACTTCCTTAGGTAACAAAAATGGGTAGTTTATTTGCCACTGTCAGAAATTACTATTGTTTGACTGTAAGGAGAAAAAAGAAATAATTACACAGTTGTTACTGCATTTCTTGAATAAAGTAGCTAGCATTTAAGGTTATTTTTATATTTGTTTTTCATTTTTTTCCAACAGGTGTTAGTTAATCTTTACTCTCTCTACTGTTTCCAAGCACAGCTATTGGCAGATGGCAAGCTATGATCAAACACACTGCATAACAGAGAAAATATGGTGTTTTCTTTTTAAGACGTGACTTTTAAAAGCAGTTTCCCTTTTTCTCTTTCTCTGTCCTCACACAGTAGTTTACATTCAAGTATTTTACTTAGAATCTTTTCTCTTATTTAGCATATTCTTATCCTTTAAATCTCATGATCCATGTGATGAAAAATCAAAGAGAATTTTAAGATGCCAAATCCAAACAACATATTAACGCTGTAACTCTGGCTCTCACACAAGTAGGTTGGGGGGGTGGGGTTGGAGGGAGACAGTTCTGTGTTGGGTGCTGAATATGGAAACAGATGCAGCTCCCTATCCACAAAGAGAATGCTAAGTGCTATGTAGCTACATAAAGGGGTAGAATTGATACAGAGCTATTTGGGGGAGAGACATGTATAGTTCCAGACACTCTTCCAGAAAAACATGTGGAAATACTTTGGAAACTGCAGACAGGTAGAGAAAGCTGGCTCCTCGTATCCCTGATTCTGAGCTTACCTTTTAAGATTGGGCTTCTTTCCTGGTTAAACTAAGATCTAATCTCATTCCAATCTAAAATAGCTCAATCTCGCATTATTTTCTGACATAGTCTAATCTATAACATATCCAATTTCTGTTTGCTTGGATAAATGGGATTTAATCACTATTCACTATTTGTGATGATAGTTATGTAACCAACCTTTGGTAGGAAGGGGCCAGGCAGGTAGTATAAACTTAGGGCTACCTTCTTCCTAAAAGCGACCAGGGAAGCATTTTTATTTTGAGTCCCTAAAAGCCATACCCCCAAACCAGAGAGATTTAAGGGAGGCAGATAGACATAATTCTAGTCTGATTAGTCAGAAACTGGGGGAGGAAAGAGTGCCCAGCCTAAAGATTTTCCTGGGAGTTGTCTGTCCGCCAGCTAGTGTGCTGGTGGTGGTACAAGCATTACCCAGGGCTCTCTTCTATGTAGAGGCAAGTTATTTCTCAGACAATATCTATCCATGCTGTCTTCAATTTGAGGTATATATTTAGACAGTTCATGTGGACATATAATATCTTATGTTGGCATACACACATCTTACAAAGTAAAATGAAAAGTGGCAAAAAAATAATGCTTCTCAGTAAACTGAAAAAACAAGATTAATTATAGAGACATGATTTCAGTAAGATTGGATTAGTATTTATACTACATGAATGTAACTATTAATGAATTCCTTGTTTTATCCTTTGCTTAAGAAAATTATAAAGAGATTCTTCTAAGTTTTCTTTTGAAAAAGATAGGTCAAAGACATTAGATCAAACTGTAATAAGGACATGGGATTTTTTAGACCTGCTTGACAAACTAAATGTTAATAAATCACTGAGATTCAATGGCAACCATCCAAGAGTTCTGAAAGAATTCAAGGGTGAAATTGTGAAACAGCTAGCCAATTATACAATCACTTATTATAAATGGCTACTGCCAAAGGAATAGTGGATGAGCAGTTTGTCTTCTACCTGTTCAAACCAGCTCAGGAGAATTGAATGTCATATTTTCAGTAAGAGCATTTACACTTTGGAAATCATCAGAGCTTGATTTATTATTTTATTGATTGTCTGGATTTAAGAAAGTGATGGGAAAATGTAAATAATGCTGATTAAACTTGTATGTCAAATGTATGTTTTTTTCCTAGAGAGCCAATTGTTGGACATTTACCAGTATACCCCTGCATCTACCCAGAAAAGTCCCCTAAAAGAGGTCTTCTGAGTCTCAGAGACAAGTCCCACAATTCAATGAGGCTCACTTTCATACTAGACAAAGAGAATGTAGTAAAAATCTATAATAGTCAACTCAACACACATTTATTAAGCAGCTGCTGGGTTCAAAGCATTGTGCTAGGCCTTATAGGTCTATAGTTGGTTCCCATAGTTAAGGATTTACAATCTACTGGAGAGATGTAACATGTCTAGATATAAGAATATACTAAGAAATTTTTCTCCTAAGAAAGTGAGTATTAACACCTGGGGAAATCAGAAAAAGATCTCATGTAGAAGCTGGCACCTAGGCTAAACCTTGCAGGAAACAAGAGAGGTCCAGGAGGCAGAAGGACAGTAGACATAGGGAATAGACTGTTCCAAAGCTTACAGGTGGGCAATGGAATGTTGTCATATGCGAGAGACAGCAAGTAAATTAATGAGTCAGGAAAGCATGGATGGGGACTAAAGTGAAATTAGTCTGGAAAGGAAGGGTGATGGTGCGTTGAGAAGGCCCTTAAATGCCAAATTCAGGAGTTTGTGTATTTTCTTGGAGATAGTAGGGAACGGCTGACCCTTTGTGTGCAGCTGAGTGACTTGGTCAAGCCTGTGCTTTAAGATGGTTTGGCATCTATACAGAGGATGGATTGGAGAGAGCAGAGATTGGAATTAAGGAAACCAATGAGGCTATTGTAGCGGTCCAGACAATAAATTACTGGTTTACACACTAAGGCGGAGTCCCTGTGTGCAGACAGGAGGGATAGGAGTGAAATGTTGTGGAGAGTAAGCCAACAAGACAGCTATTGGAGAGAATGGAAATGTGAAATGTGGAGGAAGACTATTAAATTGTAAACCTAAGTGACTAAAAGAATAGTAATCCCTCAATAGAAAAAGAAAGTTTAGGAGGAGGGGTGGGTTTAGTGGGAATGATAATAAGTTCCATTCTGAAGACAAGGGATGCCCATGGCACATCCAAATGGAAATGGCCATCAGGCAACTAATAATAGGGAGCTAGCATTCAGAGAGAGATGAGGGTCAAATATGTGTGTATGGACACCATCTGCACAGAGATTATATTTGTTACCGAAACAGTATAGAGAGAAAAGAAAAGAGAAACCAAGACAAAGTCTCTTGGATACAATCATGCACAGGGGGAAGGACATGGATGGTGATCCAGCAAAGAAAACTGGGAAGGATAGATAGAACCAGAAGAAAACAAAAAAAAAAGTGTGAGAAGGGATCGGTCAAACAGTGTCAAAAGGCACAGAGAGGTCGAGTTAATAACAGCTAACATTTATATAGCACTTTAAGGTTTATGTATCACTTAATAAATCTCATTTGAGCCTCATGATTACAGAGTGAAGTAGGTATTATTATTGTCCCTCATTTTACTGTTGAGGAAACTGGACTGAATGGTTAAGTGACTTCCCAGGATCACACAGCTTTTAAGTTTCTGAGGCAAGACTCGGAAGTCTGGTCTTTCTGACTCTTGGTTCTAGTGCACTGTGCCACCTGGTCGCCTCTTTTAATTCAATCAATATTTATTAAATGCCTACTACCTGCCAGGGAGGCAGCTCAATGAGTAGAGTAATGGGCCTGGAGTCAGGAAGACCTGAGTTCAAATCTAACCTTAGACATTTACTAGCTGTGAAATCCTGGACAAGTCACTTAACCTCTGTTTGTCTTAATCCAACTGGATAAGGAAATGGCAAACCACCTGGTATCTTTGCCTATGAAAACCCCATGGACAGTTTTGGCCTGGTATGGTCCACAGATCTACAAAGAGTTGGACACGACCGAACACCACCACCACCACCTGCCAGGCCTTGTACTAGAATTTGGGAGTACAAAGACAAAAGTGAAATCTCCTAACTTCAAGGAGTTTACTAGCTATAGAAACAACATTAAAACAGATAAGAAAATGCTAAATTTATACAAAATAGTTCTGTTTGGTAGAGTACTAATAAGGAGACTCAGAAAGAATAAGTGAGAAAAGGCCATAGGATTTAGCAAGAGGAGAGCAGAGAAAACCTTAGAGAAAGCAATTTCAGTTCAGGGGTGGAGACAGATGACAGTTTACAACAGTATGGAAGTAAGAGGCATAGGTAACTTTTTCTAGGAGTCTAGCTATGAAGTCAGTCATTCAGAAAGCATTTATTAAGTACCTACAATGTATCAAGCTCATTGTTACACAGTGGACTACAAAGGCAAGGCAATAAGCATTTATTAAGTGCTTACTAGTGCCCCAGGCACAGGGCTTAGAGCTAGTGATATAAACAGAAGGGAAAAGACAGTCTCTGCCCTCGAGGAGTTTATATTCTGACGGGGGAAGGAAATAACACACAAAAGGGAGAAAGTGAGAAAGGAAAGGTAGCCAGCAGGGGTATGATCTGGAAATCTGAAAAGTCAGAGCCAATAGGAGAATGAAGGATAGCAGGCCTGGGCCCCTCCCCAAAAGGGAGGTTCCTGGAGAAACTTACCAAGTGAAGAAGGAGGCTGGTATAGTGGAATCATGTTCTAGGGTGAAGAAGCCCCAGGCACGGAAGGAAGTTGCAGTGTCAAAATTAAGATTAAGCATGATGGCAAAATCCAAAAAGTCAGAAGCAGAACCAGGAGGGAACAAACCAAAACCATGCAGACCCTTCAGCAAGCATCTTGCATTCTTTAGGGGAGGAAACAACATATACACATGTAATCAAATACATTTTCTTTAAGCCTGGACCTGTGCTTTCATTGTTGTGAGGAACTCCCATTGAGGAATCTCCTTCTACCAAAGCAGATAGAAACTGCTCGATAATTTATTATCTTAGTGGGTTCCTTCAGGCGCTGAGAAGTTATTTGATTTGTCCAAGGTCGTACAATGAATATCTGAGAGAACAATTTAATGCAGGTTTTCCCAACTCTAAAGCTAGCTCTCTCAATACCACACACTATCTAAACACAAGATAATGTGGTAGGTTAGCAGCTGCAGAGATCAGGAAAGGGCTCAGGTGAGAGGCTGGTGCTTGAGCTAAACTGTGAAAAATATCTAGTGATTCTAAGAGGTGTAAGTGAAGACAGAGTGCATGCCAGGTACGAGGGACAGACTGGGCGAAGTCACAGAGACAGCACTTGGAATGAATGCTATGTAAGAAGCAGCAAATGACTGATCAATTGTCGGCAAATATGATTGATAGTGATAAACATGCCACAAGCTTCACATGTTCAGCTTAAGGCTACAAGTAACTTGAGGAAAGCAGGAATTTCTGTCTCAACAATCCATTTTCACTGCCTTGACTTTGTTATAAAATGTCTCTTACCATTCTCCACCATAATTTCTTCTTGCAGCAAGAAGATATAATAATTAGTAAGTTTGAATGTAATTTATTAGGGATGGTATAACATTTAGTTTGGCCTTATGTCTTACCCAAACTATAATGAACCAATAGTAAGGTTAAAAAAAAAAACAACAACAGTTACTGAAAGCCTCAAAGAGCTTTTGTTTGTGTGGGTTATAGCTATTAATATTTATTATAAATTAAAACTGATAACTAAAAATATTTCTTCATTAATTCATTTAAAAGTAACAGTAACAAACCTATTATGTGTTAGCATAAAACTTAGTTTATGAAAAATAAATATTTTTCAAAAATAAAAACATTTGAGTGAGAAATAAATAAAAAATAAAATCTCTAGTTTCCTTCAAGGTCAACACAAGCACCACCTCCTATAGCCTGTCCTCCTATCATGACCCTCAAGGTGCTATGCCCTTACTTTGTATATATTTTGTACAAATTTTGTATGTGCAAATTGTTTTCTTCCAATAAAATATAAGTTCTTTCCTTTTGGGGACTATTTGGTTGGTTGGTTGTTTTTTATACCCAGGACCTAGCATAGTGCCTGGCACATAGTAGATGCGTAATACGTGCTTAAATTGAATTGAGTTCAAAGTAGGCTAGATCCAGATTGTGAAGAAGTTTAAATGATGAACAGAAGAGTCTGAATTTGTTTTTAGAGGCAACAGAGAGCCCCTAGAGCTTCTGGAGTAGGGGAATGCCATGATCAGACCTGTGCTTTAACAGTATTGTTTTGACAGCTGTGTGGAAGATGAATTAGAGGAAGAGAGACTGGCAATAAAGAGACCTATTAGGAAACAATTGCAAAACTCCAGTCTTGGGATGATGAGAGCTTGAACTAGGTCCTTTCTAGCAGTATCAGTGATTCCCACACAAATCACCATATTTGTAGTAGTGTCAAACCTGGATGAGGCTCTCTTTCAGAATCCAGGTATGTGTCCTGCAAAGAAGGAAGATTTTCCTACTATTTTTGTTGGGTCATAAAATAGTTGCAGTAGTAGGCAGAGGGAGTCACCTATTGCCACTGTATGTCTCTTCCTTCTCAAACCATTACTTAATGACTTCTCATACACAAGTAACTGAGGATATCATCATTTCTTGGTAGAAGAAACTACTTCCCTCTGAGATGGTTCAACTCTCCCTACGGGAGAACACATTCCTAACAATCAGTTCCAAATTTTTGTTGTACAGTTATTTTCAGTCATATCTAACTCTTTAAGACCCCTTTTGGGGTTTTCTTAGCAAAGATACTGGAATGGTTTGCCATTTCCTTCTCCAGTTCATTTTACAGATGAGGAAACTAAGGCAGACAGGGTGCAGTGATTTGCCCAGGGTCACACAGCTCATAAGTATCAGAGGCCAGATTTGAACTCAGGAAGAGGAGTCTTCCTGGCTCCAGGCCCAGTGCTCTATCCACTGTGCCACCTAGCTGCCCACTTAGTTCCAAAGATTCCCTTCTTTTTCTGCATCACATTCTTCTCCCCTCCAAACTCCTGTTGTAGGTTGGGAGTCTCTTCTGCCTTTTCGTATCTTTTTTCTTCCTTTCTTTCCTCTTTGAAGCACAGCACTTCTTCCTTTCAAAAACATTCATTTTCTTTCCTGGAGCATTTTCAGCTTTTAATCTAGGAGGGGAGATCAGGTTATAATTTGTACACATGAAGGTGTTACTTGGTACTGGCAAAACCACAAACATTGCATGCCCTCTGCAGGTCACTGCAGAATTCTCTTTGTCCTTTACCTTAGCTTGAAGATTATTAGACTTGTTCTGACTGAGCCTGGAAGGGAGAATTAGGACCCATGGTGAAAGTTGCAAGGAGATGGTTCAGAGTAAAAAAAAAAAATTAAAACAACAACAACACATCCTCACAGTTAGTGCATTCCAACAAGTACCTGAACAGAATACTCCAAACTTGAGATTTTCAAATGGAGGCCAGATAGCCATGTATCAAAGATATCATAGAAGGGATTTTGGTTCAAGCACAGGCTGGACAATGAGTGCTGCCATCCTTCCAGTCTTGAGATTGTCAATTGCTTAATAAAGTACAGATTACTGGATCATAGCTCTAGAACTGGAAGGAATCTCAGAGGTCATCTAGTCTGACCCCTTCATTTTACATGGAGGAAATTGAGGCCTGAGGTGCAGAGGGCTAAGGACTTGCCCAGCATCACACAGCTAGTAGGAGTGGCAGGTTGAACCTAGATCCATTGACTCCAAGATCACTACTCAATGACTTTAATTTTAATTTGACACAATTAGGCAAATGTTCCTAAATAATATCTATGAATGGAGAATCTACTTTTTAATGCAAAACCCTAAAATTCAGCCATACATTAATTCATGTAAAGAGGGAAAGATTGAACAGGATCCACACTCTCAAGTAGTAAGCTTCTAAGACTGAGAAGCTATGAGATTATGGTAGCTCTTAAAAGAGGTCTATAAGGCCTCAGCTGACTCATATATAAATCATTAAAAAAAATTAGAACCAACCCAAAGTGGAATGGGAGTACTTGGATGGAAGTAATAGGTTTCCCTGTTGTTATATGCCTACAATTAGGGACTAGACAACCTATGTGAAGGATGTTGTAGAGGAGATTCTAAATCAAGAACAGAATGGACCAGATCTGAGGACCTGGGTTCCAAAGTAAGCTCTACAACTTATTGCTAGGGTAACTTTGGGCAAGTCCTTTAACCCCTTTGAGCCTCAATTTATTCATCTATAAAATGAAAGGGTTGAACTAAATGGCTCTGAGGTCCCTTACAACCCTGTATCTATAATCTCTGAGATCTCTTCCTACCCATTATCTATTATTCTGTGATAATGAATTGCCCTAGATCAGGCATTCTTAAACTTTTTTTGTCATGGACCCCTTTGGCAGTCATGAAGCCTATGAACTCCTCAGAATCATATTTTAAAATGATGCACAAAATAAAACACATAGGATTATAAAGGAAACTAATTATACCATAATACAGCTATTCAAATATTTTAAAAGTATGTTTCCTGATCCTAGTTTAAGAAACTCTACCCTAGAAAGACTAAACTACTCCTCAAATATTTCTCTGACTTCCAGGGTTGTAATACCTAAAATTCCACTAGTGATTTATTCTTTTGGGTTTTAAAGTCTTTAAGAGGCCCCTATTAGGGTCACATTAAAAAAGATTAACCTAAAGTAACTGAAAGAACACTATCACACTTTTAAAGAAGTTAGTACACATACTTCACAAATTATTTTCAAAACTTGAGAAAGAAAGCACCTTATCAGAATCCTTTTATGAGAAAAATATAGTCAGTACCTGAACTAAGAAAAGATAATACCTGAAAGGAAAACTATGGACTAATATAATTAATGAACATTGGCTTAAAATTTTTAAACAAAATCCAACCAAACAGACTACAGCATTTTATCCAAGAAGTCATTCATTATGACCAAGTGGGATTTATACCAAGGATAGTTCAACATTAGGGAAAAAAATCAACATAATCAATCATATTAAAAACCAAAACATCCAAAACCACATGATCATCTCAATAGATGCAGGAAAAACCTTTGACAAAGTGCAACACTCTTTTTTCCAAAAAAAAACACAACCCTACAAAATATAGGCATGGAACGATATTTTTTAATGTCATAAAAGCATATATCTAAAACTGAAAGCAAGCATCATATGCAATGAGAATACTCTAGAATCTTTCCCAATAAATATGGGAGTAAAGCAAGGATGCCCATTCTCCCTATTATTATTTGATATAGTTCTGGAAATGCTAGCAACAGTAATAAGACAAGAGCAAGAAATTAAAGGCATAAAGATAGGTAAAGATGAAATAAAACTATCTCTGTTTGTTGATGATATATCAGTATATTTGAAAAGCCTTAGAGAATCAGCAAAACTACTAATTGAGACTATTAATAGCTTCAGCAAAGTTACAGGCTACAAAATAAATCCTCAGAAATCAACAGCATTTCTATATAATAATAACAAAACCCAAGAAGCAATAATAGAAAGGGAAATCCCATTCCAAATAATTACAAAATGCATAAAATATTTGGGGATTGACCTACCTAAGAATACAAAAGACTTGTATGCAAAGGGCTCCTTAAAGAAATTTAAAACAAAATGAAACAAAACAAAACAATTTGAATAGCTGGAGAAATGTTCTGTTCCCATGACTAGGCTATGCCAACATAATAAAAATATTGCCAAAAATTAATTTACATTTTAATGCTTTACCAAATCAATTATTAGGGGTTGACTTTATAGAGTTAGATAAAAATGATAACAAAAATCACTTGGAAAAACAAAAGATCTAGAATATCAAGGGAAATG